AAAGAGATAAATATTCAAGATGAATATTACTATTCTTATTCACAAATGAAAAAAACTGGAGATCTGAGACATTAACGTGACTTAGATGCACAGCTTATAAGCAGTAGAGCCAAGACTGGGACCCAGATCAGGTCTAATGCCCTTTCTCTTCACCATATGGCTACTACAGACCTGACCACAAAACCACACAGTCAAGAAGGCTGGAGAGTAGACAATTACACTGTGATCTGACAGATGCAAACAAAACAGAGTGTTGTGTTTGGCTGGGAGTACCTTTCAGGAGGTCTACCTTTTTAAACTAAAGAAAAGATATGACCAGAACCTGAAAAGACAAGAAAGAAGGAAAGATATGGAATCAGTAAGGAACATTAAGAAAGAATAAAATAGTTTTTTTAAAAAAGGAAGAAAGTAATAGTAGAAAATGCTTTCTTTTCTTAGGATAAGCTGTATAATTAATGACTTTGAGAAAAAAACAAAGTTCGCCTTTTTTGTTGTTGTTGTTCACTATAGGATGATTTTGAGAGAAAAAGAAAGTTCACTCTACAACCAGCTATTAGCAGCAAAATGCTTTCTTTTCTTAGGATAAGCTGTATAATTAATGACTTTGAGAAAAAAACAAAGTTTGCCTTTTTTGTTGTTGTTGTTCACTATAGGATGATTTTGAGAGAAAAAGAAAGTTCACTCTACAACCAGCTATTAGCAGCAGCAGCAAGTGGCTGTCCCGACAGCAGGTGCACTGAGAGGGGGCACCCGAATGTCCAGGGAGCAACTTACTTGCCCACAGAAAGCTTTATTTCACATACCGCCTATCTACAGTATTCCATGCCAAAATGAGGAAAACACTGATCTAGAACCCTTTCCACGTAAATACTTCCCAGAAATTTTACAGGGTCCCTATCTCTGGCCCGCGCTCACAGAAAGAGTAAATAAAAGGTGTTATATCAAAAATATGCCTGACAGAGAGTTATGTAATTTTTTTTCCCTGGAAAACATAACCCAGCTGGTGAGACCCATGATATTTTTAGTGCTTTTTCATTAAAATCTGTAGAATATTCAGTAATATCACTACAAAAGAAGTTTATAGCTATTTTAGAGAAAGCCATAAACTGTTCTGTGACATCATTTCTGGGAATTCATCCTTAGGAAATTTTTTTAAAGTAGTAAGAGAATACATATAAAAAAATGTTCAACACATTTGTTCACAATTGTTCAAAAAGAGAAATAACTTACATATAGAATAGTGGTTGAATATATTGTGGTTCATCTCCTTAAAAATGAAATATGAAGACTGTAAAGTATAATAACAGAAAAGATTTCTGATGTACTAACTTTTCAAAGCAGATATCAAAACTGTCAGGACACTATGATTGTCTCTATATTATACAGATGGGTGGATGAAACCTATCAATGGATAGGGAGGCAAACAGAAAATGCAAAAATAAAAACAGTTGTTTAGGTACTAAAAAAATGTGTGTGTCCCCCATTTTAAAATTTCATTTTATGTTGTTTTAATAATACTTCAGTGATCAATGCACATATTTTCAAAGCCCCATTCTAAGGTGCTTGGTTTGTAACTCTGAGCCCTAAAAAGAAGGCGGAGTCATGAGAAACAGTATAATACCACAAATGTGCAGGTTTTAAGGAATCATTTGATAAAAAGAGACATATCAGGTTGTAAGGAACAAGCATGAGTCCTGCTCAGGAGTAAAGGTCTAAATAGGGGCAGAGAGACTGTCACATGGGAAGAAGAGAAAATTATTCTCCTCTGCCCAGGTGCATAACAAATTCATGAGAACTGTGCTGTGTGGCCACAACCATCCTCCTCTCAGCTCCTGCCAAGTCATGGCAGAGAGAAAGCCTAAGTTCTAAAAATCAGGAACTAAAATCCCTCCTGGGGAATTATTTCAAAACTAAACAAGAAAGAAGGTGAGAAAACAGTTGACAACTGAGGCTTAAAGGGAGCTCCAGGAACTTAACAGCCAGAAGCTTCTAACCCCCCAAAACAGACAAAACTCCTAAGCCTTCCAGGGAAAGGTAATAGAAAATTAAATACTAAGAAAGTACCTTTATTTTTTGATCACATTTTTTTGGCTTTGTTCTAAATTGTGTATCATTTGTTGGGCTGTTCCTACAAACCAAAGCTTATAAAGAAATAAATTTCAAAATATGCAAAAAATACAGGCAATGATAATGCTACAGCAAATGTCAAACATCTAAACGGGTACAGAAGAAAAAATTCTTTTTCTGAGCCTCGACTATACTTATTCTCAACAAAAACTGTAGATGTTCAAAACCAACAAACATTCTTGTTTTCTAATCATTTCATACATGTGTATCTAACATCTCAAAGTGGTAATCTAATTCAAGGAGGAGGTAATAATGGTCTTTGCAAAGCCCCTAATAATTAACAAATTCAAAGCAGAGAGGAAAGAGTCAAATTTATCCACTGGCTCATAGATTATTAATAAGAGCAAAATATTCAATAATTCTTATGGACAGAAGCCAGATGGACAGCCTGAGCACACAGCAAATAGATTTATTCATTCATTCATTCACTCATCACGGATCCACCCAATCGCCTACTAAATATTTACCAACTGCCATTTATCCTAGGCACTGTGATAGCTGCTGCCAATACAGTGCTGAGCCAACCCTGCCCTGAGGGAGGTTATAGTTTCATGGGGACCTTAAACAAATAAAAACTTAATCCGTGATAAGTGCTGTATGAGCATTAATTTAATCTTAATGTCTTTGAAATGTTTTTCCATAAACAGCACACTTACAAAGTATTTTCATCCGAATTTTAATCTGAATATACTAGTGTTTAGGTCTAATTTCCAATTTGCTAGAAATGCAGAGGACAGTAGAACAAGTTAATGAACACCATAAGGAAACAATCAGACAAATCCAAAATGTGGGGCACTGCCCTCGTCTCTTCAGAAGGTCAGTGGGATGAGAGAGGAGAGCGGAGAGTATAGGACAGGGGACTGGGGAGCTATTCAAAGGTAAATAAAATTGGAGACATAACAATGAAAGCAATGTGTGATTCCTGATTGAATACTGGCTTGGGGGAAAAAACAACTATAAAATAGCTCCCACCGAGGGTTCGGATCCCATGTGGAGACTGGTTCCCGCTCACTGGCTGAGCGCAGAGTGGGCGCAACACCGAGGGTTGCGATCTTGTTACTGGTCAGTAAAAAAGACAAAAAGGAAAAAAAAAAAAAAATATATATATATATATAT